TTGGGTAGCTTCATTCACAATTTTTCTTGTGAATTTTTAGTATGAATTTCGCTTTCTGCTGAACAAGTTGTGTTGAATTGAATGTGAGAGAGTTCGGAGCGCGCTCGTTAACAAGACAAGACCAACAACAACAGCAACTGTGAAAAGCAAGCGCAGCAACAACAACAAAATTGCAATACCCCATTAAAATTTTGTTTTCTATTCAAACGAAGAAAAAAAATCACCACCAAAAAATAAGAAATATTTTTTTGTATGGAAACAAAACCGAGAAGTTTTGGAAGTGAAAAAAACAACAACAACAAAACAATTAATCGTATAATCAAAATATAATACAGAAAACAAAAGAATTCCTACTAGAACGACGAAAACGGTAAAGATAAAGCAGAAATAAATAAAAAACAACAACAATAATCAGAAAATCAATTGCATGCATGATTTTTCGGGTTTATTAATGAAAACAAAAACAACAACAACAACGTCGAAAAACATTTTTATTCGGGTTTACGTCGTACGCCTACATCCCTCCCAGTTAACGTTTAAATAAATTGTGAGGATAACCGACCAAAAAAACTGGAATAAAGTGCAAAACAACAACAATTGAGAACAACAAACCAAAATCAGACAAGCACAAGTGCAAAACAAATTCTGTAACATCAAGAACAAAAAATAAAACAACAGCAAATATTGCCAAAATTGTCTGCTGCTATTCTTCTCAAACAAACAAGAAAATAGAAAAACGTGCACAAACAAGTTGCGAAAGACATTCATATGTTTGTCGTGTTGTGTGCGTGTGCTGTAATTTACACCTCATTGTAATTTCCACCTCATACGAAAAGGAATAACTGTAAATTTATGGCATTTACAGCAACAAAAACAAAAAGAGGAAGATCAAACCAAACTCTGGTACCATTAGCAGAGGGGAGAAAACGACCAGGCTCAGTGGTGGGCAATCCTTGAATATCAGCAACAACTGAAAAAAATAAAAACAATTTTTTTGAATTCATCATCATCATTCATTTTTCAAGTGGAGCATTCTCGTGGACTTTTTCTCATTCACTTTTTATAAATTGAAAGAAATAAAATTAATTAAATTTCTTTGGACAATACACTCTCCTCTGGTTGCAGTTGCCATTGAATTAAAATTCTTTCGTGTACCGTGAACGAATAACAAAAAATTCGCGAGTGTTTTTTTTACTGATCTACGAACTCGAGTGTGTGTGCGTGTGTGTATGGCTCCAATGAAGAAAAGTCATTCAACGCTGAAAATTTCTATGGATTAAATTTTTTTTATTGAAAACAAGAAGACGAAAAAATACAATAATAACAATAACATTCACACAGGAGCAAAGCAGAGCAAGCAGCAACAACAGAAATAATAACAGCAGCCACAGATTTTTGTTTGTGTATTATTTCTGCGTGTGTTTGTGTGTGCCGTTGTTTTTGATTTGTTTTATTTTTTTTTTGCTCGACATCACAACACACAGTGACCGGTGCGTAAAAAGTGACAGTTGTGTTATTAAATCAATCAAAAAGAAAACATCAAAACCAAAACAAAACAACAAAAATGTGCCAGACAACAATGTGAATTTTCGTTATTAATCAAAAATAAAAGTAAATGCAAGTGCAGTACAGGTATTAAAGGAATTAATTATTTGAGTGTTTTTTTGTTAATCATTGAATTGTCAGTTTTACACTATCCTATCAAAAATGAATAGGTGAAGTGAGATGAGTCATTTTGAGAGGATGATAGAAGTAAACTTTAGAAGTGAAAATGAAAGTGAGAGTAAAGTGGGGAATAAATAAATAATCAATGCAATGTGATATTGAATTTTTCTGCCAATGTGATATGGAATTAATCCAATCGGAGAAAAATATGGATTAAGAATAAATTGAAGTAACAACAAATTTTCATAGAACAAAGAAGGTAAGAAATTACCTTTAGTGCCACCTCTCAGAAAAAATTAATGTTAAAATATGGGGATGTTCGGAACTTTGAAATCCAATATCTCGGGAAAAAGTTATGTTTGTAAAAATGTTAGACTTTTCTTGGAGGTTAACTCAAATGAAAATATAAGCCATGTTTCTTGTAAAAGATGCACTCAGTTTTTCGTTCATTTTTTATTTTAATTTTTAGTGGATTTGTGTATTTGTCATTTAAATGCTAGAAGGATATTTGAGAAATTATCAAGCTCCCTATCTCACAAATTTGAGTTCCACCCACAAAACCGTTTATCAAAGAAATCGATTCTTAGAGTCAGGAAAACATAATATTTTGGAAAAATATTTAATTCTCACCGTTAAAAATAAATCTTTGCCACTCGCCGTATAGGGTTTTTTCTCGTTTTCAGTGTTTTGTTCTTCTAAACATAAGTTCGTAATTTAAATATTTCTTCCCACAAAATAAGGAGTTATATTCGAGAAATTCCGGGCCTTAGAAATGTGAATTCCTCGAAATTAATTTTTGCCATTAATGGAATTTGCCTAGTAGTACATTAACATGACAGTAAATTTTCGCCAAATTCTTCTGAAATAAATTCCAGTTCGCTTGAGATGTAAAATCTAATATACAAAAGTTTTTTAATTTTTTTTTTTATAGTTTGTAAGTGTTAGAAAAGTATATATTCTTAACGGATAGGTGTAAAAATTAACCTCACCAGTTAGGCTTTTAAATAGTGCCACCAACTATTTTTTTTATAAACGAAATATCAAGTAGTAATTTTGGTCAAAATGTTACATGTTGTAATATTCAGTTTGAACAACATTCCGGAATGATTCTGGCAAGTTTTTTTAAATAATAATTCTTTATTGAGTTGAATAAAAATTAAAATAAATGAATTTCGAATTTATCTTCCCAAATGGTTAAGGCAACATTTTAATATTTAAAAGATTCAACTATGGGCCAGGAATTTGAGCACGTTTTTCAATCAAATTGGCTATAATTACAATTTATTTAAAGTATGCCATATTTCGGATTTTATATACTGCAAAGATATGAAATATTTGGGGTTTTCTTATATTTAATGCCAAATTTTGGATTAATTTTAATTGATTTTCAAAATCTGATTTTACATTTTTAATCGATGGTCATAGCTCTACAAAACCAAAATAATAATTTGATAATTCAAACTTTAAAAAAATTGACTGCTGTTTTCGGTCCACCCTATTGAATCTTTATTTTTTTCTTGTAGAATCGAAATAAGCGTCCTCGAAACCTTTATATCTGATATTTATTTATTTCATAAACCCATTGCTCTAATTATGGCCAAAAATGGGATGTCTGGCCTATGGTGGATTCCTCACAGATAACAATGGCGAAATCCCTATTTCCGACTCAAATGTTAGGTTGGATCTTATAATCAAATAGAGCACAAAAAACCGGATTACAGAATACGCAATGAGTTGTGAAATGCAGACCATATTACCGGATAATGCGGATTATCGAGATTTTACTGTATAGTAATTCTGGTTAATCGATTTTATGATTAAATTAATTATAAAAGCTCAGAAGAATTTTAGACATAGTTTCAAAGTCAAAAAATAAAAGTGTAATATAATACGAATGAAGTACGCGAATTGACCAAACCTTGTCTTAAATAAATATATTTACCTAAACTAGATCGTGACCAAAGAACTTTCTATCGACCTACTCATTCTTGTGCTTGCCACATTTTTGAAATTTGTACTTCGTAATTTTTACTTACCTACGTTAAGGGAAGCTATGATCAAATGAAATCTGAATTTACCACTATCTTTGCACATCCTGATATTTTTACATATCTATAAAATGATCAGGTACCTTTAGGTACCTGAAAAGGTTGAAACATTTTAAATCACATATCTTAATTTCTAATTTTAATGTACATAGTCTGTAAAAATAGCCGTAGTTTGACATATAAAGTTCTTCATAGGAGGAATTAACTACTCATAAAAAATGCATTATGCACTTAGTCTCATATTTTGGAAGTATAGTCGAAATATTTTATAATGGTACCATTTATAACGAAATATCCTAAGGTCCAGAGAAATATGCTGCCTTTATTTTCATATCGTTTATAACGAATAATGAAATAAACGTAATTTGACTATTTTTAGTTTTGCGAGGTTAAAACAACTCCTTAAAATAAATATTTAATATATACGTATTTTCGGCATATAGCCTGATTTTGATTCCTCTCGGTTTAAAGATATACAATATTTTGGTGTTCCTTTTTTAATTCGAAACTTTAGGTACTTTAGAAAGTCCCTTAAAATTGTAAATACAAAGTTTAAACGTTTCGAAAGCCGGTCATACTCCTGTTTCATACTAAATCTATGCACGTTCTCTTTCGTTTCTTGAAGGGTAAGACGGCATTTCGTTTTTGTTAAGGTTGTTATTTTATCTTCTAGGATCCCTTAATTTGTTTTTTTGGAATTAATTTTGAAATTACAATCGAAATCAATAATGTGGTGAATTATGAAGGTCCACTTAATAACAAATTTTTTGGCAATTAATATTTAATTTTATTTGTGATAAGATAGTGAATTTGACAATTTTCCATAAAAATTGAAATATTAAACTAAAGTTCTATCCTTTCTTTACAGAAATTAAACAATTTTCAAAATTTAAGACTTTTGCAGAATAAATATCACTTAAACACTTTTAATAACAGAACAAAGTATTTTTTATAATATTAAAATAGAAAAAAACAAGCAGTGAAAAAGCAGTAAAGCAATAAAAATAAAAATTTAGATTTCATATTTTTATACAAACAACAACACAAAAATGTAAAAATAGCAACATTTTTATCGCCAAACAAAACAAAATTAAAAAAAAATGAATTAATAAAACGAGTTTTGCAACGACAACAATTTTCAACAACTCCATATTGATAAATAAAAAAGAAGCAAAAAAAAAACTACTGCATTTATATTTTTTGATTTTGCAATAAGTTTTCTGTCAACGGGAAAATTCCGTTTCTTCGTTATCGCCACACAGTTAGCCCCCCATTTAAATGCTACTTATGGCGCCACGTCGCAATCACAATACCAACAGCATTGTAACGCAGCAGCAAACACCGCAACAACAATCAACCGCAAATCAAACGTCGTCGTCATCGTCCTCCTCAGCATCTTTGTCATCGGTGGTGGCAGGCGGCGGTGCGACATCTTCACCGTTTTTGGTGGCCAATTCTGGCACGGCGTCATCAGCGGCAACGACGCTTTTTAATAGCTTCTATACGACGTCAGCACCTACGCAACTCAACGAGGAATCTGGGATTAGCAACAGCATCAGCAACAACAACGGTAATACGAATAACGGCGCCAACAATATGTCACCCATGCAAACCGCAATAACCACCAGCAGCAACAACAACAATAATACATTGACTCCTAATCATAACAACAGCAGCAACAACAATAAGGGAGATCAATATGTTCATTGTTGCCATCCTGGTGGTGAGTGCTTCAAATCCGATTCTCCCCTGATCAATTTGGATGATCTCGCCGATTGTGTGAAAGTGATTTGCAACAATGAGAATTGTAATGTGGGTCAGTATATGCATCGGGAGTGCTTCGAAAATTGGGAACAGTCCGTTCTACAATCCCTCAAGTCAATGGGTGGTAGGGCCCGATCATGGTCTGATCGTCAAAAGGCACAAAATCTATGGACCAAAAAAGGCTACGATTTGGTCTATAAGGTGTGTGGCTGCAAATGTTCCCGAGGCCATTTACGCAAGGATTTGGAATGGGTAGCACCCAAGCCTGCTGGCCAGCAACAATATTCCATGAATGGTGGCCAAAGGATAATGAATGGTAATGGTACAACAAATGGTGGATGTCAGGAGGATGAGGATAAGAAGAAAAAGAAAAATAAACGGAATCGCCAGCAACAACAACAACAACCCCAACAGCAGTCGCAGCAACAAACAACGCAGTCGAATAAAACTTTGGCACCTTTGCAGGTCAATGGTCAGCAGCAGCAGCAATCTCAACAGCAACAACAACAAATGTCCAATGGAGTTTCTTCCAATGGAAATAATTGTGTGCTGGACCACAAAACCACCGATAACAACCAAGTTGGTCATCACAATTCTTCTTCTTCTAACGTTTCAAATTCCACATCATCTTCTTCAGCCACTAACAATAGTACACCCAATGTCGGTGTCATTGGTTCGGGTTTGCATCATCAGCAACAGCAACAAAATCCAATACAAAACAACACCCAATCTTCTTCGGGCCTAGCTGAGCTACCGGCCACCGTCATGTCCTCAATCAATAATCTATTGAATGGCTCCAATAATATTTTGGGTTTGGATTTACGCCCACGCACCAATAGCCTCTCATCGGCCAGCAATAGCCACAGTGGTTCCACCTCACCCTCGGCCATATCCTTCTGCAGTGGTGCTGGTGAACTAACCATGGTTCCAGCACCAACCACCATCACCATATCTTCCAACGGTCTGGCGAATGGCACCAGCGTCACCACCAATCAATTGGCCACATTACAAAATTTAAATTTAAATGGATTTTATCAACCTCAGGCCAACTTAAACAATCAGCAGCAGCAACAACAACATCAAACCTCATTAATGCAACAACAGCAGGCTCAATCATCTCTAACTAAAAATATTCTTAATGGATTACAATCGTCTGCCCTGTTGGGAAATGGTGTAGGCGGCGGTCTAGGATCTTCTAATCCGGCTACTACCGCTTCAGTAGTTGCAACCACAGCTTTATTGATTAAACAACAACAACAGCAGCAGTGCTCTTCTGCCAATGGTCTCAAACATTTGTCACCATTCGAACAGCAACAATTGCTGTTGCAACAAAAAGTCAAAGAGGTGGAATTGTATTCGGAGAGAGTTCGGTAAGTGAAGACTTTTTTATTTCTCTAATTTTAGAATTTGTATGAAGTTTTTAAGAATTGAAAACCTTCAATTTCCTATAGAAGACATTCTAAATGTCTTTAATAGAGGAGCTTCTAGTCTTTCTTTACATAGGCCCTTTCAAATGACTTATATAGAAAACTCTCGAAACACTCTCATCGAAGTCTTTTAAATGTGTGTCTAGTGTGTTATCACGCCTTAATAATTCTTTCCAAAAAAATATTTTTAAAAAATCCACGCCTTTTTCCAGAACATTCGTAAAGTGCGTACATACATTGAAGTAATCCCCGATCAAGTTCCTACTCTAATTTATCAACCGAAGTGGCTGTAATTTGGCATTTCGGGGTCTGATAGGATAAAAGACTTCCGGGCGAACAATCGTTGATATACGTCTATGGTTTTTTTGGCATATCAAGGTCCAGACCGGTTTAAGGTATTTTGAAGGTCCTAGCCGATTTTTTTCCGCGGCTGCATTTTTGGTTTCTCAGGGAAAATACCTCCCACTTGGACTATATGGAGACGATCCACTTTTGAACATAACTTCCTCCATAGTGATGGGTATAACAATTTCGACACGCAGTCTTGTTAAGAATAGAAGACCTTCATAACGTTTTCATGAAATAGAAGACATATCTACCGAAATTATTTTGTATTACAAAAATTTCCATAGAATCGAGGGCTTTTGAAGAAAATATGAAAATTCTACTAAGGAAGAGAACTATGCAGCTCTGCGAACAATCGTTGATATAGGTCTATGTTTTTTGGCGTATGAAGGTCCAGACCAGTTTAAGACCTAGCCGAATTTTTTCCGAGGCTGCATTTTTGGTTTCTCAGAGGGTAACATACCTCCCACCTGAAATATATGGAGACGATCCACTTTTGAACATAACTTCCTCCATTGTGATGGGTATAAAAATTTCGACCCGCAGTATTGTTAAGAATAGAAGACCTTCTGAAGGTTTCCATGAAATAGAAGACATATCTACGGAAATTATTTCGTATTACAAAAATTTCCATAGAATCGAGGGCTTTTGAAGAAAATATTTATGAAAATTCTACTAGGAAGAGAACTATCTCTGTTTATTTTTAAGGCAAAGTCTTTCTACACTCGTTCGGTCTTGTGGCACATTTAATTAAAATTTAGTTTCTGTTTTATCGTGTCATTCTTGTTTTTGTTTTTTTCAACACTCCCCATTATCATCTGCTTAAATTGTTGTTATTTATTTATTCGTTGTTATTTTTTTCCTTTATTTATTGCCTTAATCACTAACCGAGTTTCGAGAAATTATGTTAATTTTTATTTTTTTGCTTAAATAAAAATTACAAATTTCATTGTTTATTATGCATTTCCTTTTCGTTTGGGAGTGAGTGAGTGCAGAATTCGGTAGGTCAAGGTTGTTGTGTTTTATTTTAAAACATTTTTTTTTGTTGGCATTTCAATAACAGGAAATTAAAATGCAAATAAAAATTGGACTGAAATTAAATAGATTATTTTTTGAGTGTATAGAGTAATTACATTCACCAGCTCGAAGGACCAAAACCAAACCTACGGGAATCTGTGGAACGCCTATTTTGGAATTAGGGCATATTTTTTCAACAAATAGACGTTTTAATACAAAAATAATAGAGGTTAAACCTGAATATTTCGAACGGACAAAATACAATTGTAAAATAGAAATAGAAAATTTGGTCCTTCGACTTGACAATATTAAAAAAAAATTTATTATAAACATATGATCTATAAATTCGTTTCAAATTATCAATCACAAAACAGCTCGAAGGACCAACATTTTTATTTTTCATAACCCAATTTTTTTTTATTTTAAATACTTAAATTAGGAAAACAGCTCGAAGGACCATAATTCATATTTTTTTTTATTTTAAATTCTTAAATTATGAGTAATATTTTTGCAACTACCAAAACAATAGATGATTAGAAATTATGTGGATACATTTTAAGCGTGTATTGTTTTTATAATTAGTTGTTTTTTGGTGTTTCAAAAAAATATTATTCATAATTCCGGTTTGTTGAACAGCTGCTGGTTTTTTTCGAGTGTTATCTTTAAACTTTTGTTTTCGGGTAACATATTTTTATTTTTGCATATTTTCTCTTTTATGCAAGTTACTAATCGGGGAATTTTTTTATTTTATAATTTCTTCGTTTCGTTAAACCGACAAACTTTTGTTTGAAGACGAAGAAATAAATAACAAAACATTATTTTTTTCAAGGTTACTGCAATATTTGTGCTAAAATTAAGATAATTCATAAATTTCGATTTAATAAACTGGTTTTTAATACACAAATTGCCCGATAAAAATCGCTAAAAATTGTATTGCATTGCATCTATAACAGCAGAAAATTGTTATTTTGGAATTCAAAAATCAATTTTGCATAATGAAGCGCCACACTTTGGTGGGACAGTGGGAGGAGTAAAATATCAAAAACATCGATAATAAATACAAATCACGTAATTTAATAGAACGGGGAGAATAATTTAATAGAGCGGGTAAGAAATTATAGATTTTATGGCTGGCATTCCATTATCACATGAGACAATGGCCAGTTAATTTGTCTGTGAAATTTAACTAGAATTTGGAATATAAAAATTTGAAACTTTCACTTTCTTTGTGAAGAAGTTCTGAGGAATATTTTTTTCAAAGTGGAATATATTTTAATTTTTTTCTTAACATTAGAAGGCTTATAAAATACTATGGATCAAATTGGCTCTATATATTATGCTATATAAGATTTATAGGCGGTTTTCTATATAAATATTCTTCTTTTCGATAGAATTTATTACAACATACTATACAATAACATTGGAAGTACCTCCATTCTATAAACTCTTAGATAATTTCCTTAGACCATTACATTTTTATTAGTCAACTTTAGAAAATCTAACATCGATGGATGACCTTTAGGAGGTCTTATTTTCCTCAGAATATGGTTTTTAGGTATTATTTTCTATAGAAACCTATATATGATTTTTTTCTTGGGAAGTTAGGAAATTTTTTTTTCTTTTGAAAACCCTTAAAAAGTATACAATGAAGGGCAGTTCTGAATTATGAATTATGAACGCTACTTCTCTCCCACAGAAGACCATTAAAATGTGTTTCGTTTATATCGAATCGGAATAAGCATCCACAGAAAGTTTGAGTTCCGTAATAGTTGTGTTAGGGTATCGTATGGTCGACCCCGTCCGATTATACTGCTCCGCTCACATTTTTTAATTTTATTGGAAAATTAGTCAGCTTTGGTTTTTGGGAATATTTTTTTGTATAATTGTATTTATGGATTATTTTTAATATTTTAAAGTATTTTTAATATTTTTTAAGAATTTATTTGAGAGCTATATGCAATATTATATATACCTACTAAGAATAATAAATGTTGGTCAACTTTTTAGCCTAGACCCCACATGGTACCCCATATCATTCCGTATTTCAAATCGAATTGGCTTTATTTGACATTTTGATCCACCTTTTAGGGCAGCCCTGCCAAAGTTATCTATTTTTAACCAAATTCGCAGTAATTTTTTATTTTGGATTCATTTGCAATTGGTATAAATTTATTCTACCCTGCCCTACTGTTCCAACCTGAGTATATACATCCCTGTTAGAACATAGTCGCACGTAGTGTATAAATTTAGACCAGCCATAAAGTAAACTTAAAAAGTGTTGTGAAACTATCAGGTGATCGAATTACACAAAAACTCTACAGACAAAAAAAAAAACATTTTTTTTAATATTTTTTTGCCAGAAATGAAAACATAAGTTTGTTGATGACGACATTTTATTCTGTGTGATATTTATAGAATTTTTCAACTACCCAATTCATTCAATACGCCATTTTCAAGTGTGACTCGTTGATATTTTTATTATTTTTTTGGGTTGCTGTACATATTTTTTTATTTATCTGTCATGATATGATTGCACAATGTTTGTATTTTTTTTTTTTTAATTTCAAGTGTGTAGTTCACTTTGTTTCCAAGTAAGAAAGTAAGGTAAAAATACTACTGTCAATAGGTATTTATTCTTTAATGGTGTTGTCAGTAATTTATTTTTTGGCTGGCCATATTTGCGTCGTCTGATTTATTCTTTTTTAGACTATGTGGCGTCGTCTCTATCTTGTCTTTCGAATTTCAATGTCAAGGTTAATGGTGAAAATTATTATTATGGCTTTCTATCTCATTCACATTTCACTTTAAATGTATTCAGTTGTCATTTTTTTTGTTAAGCTCTTAAAAAGGCCATTACCTGTCAAATTATTATATTGAATAATTAACCACAAAATAATGAATGTATTTTCTATACACCATTTTCAATTACAAAAGTGTTAGAAGGCATTATTTGGTACTCATTATTATTATCAAAGAACATTAAACCCATTCTCCCATTATACACTTTTATTGACCTTGACCAAAAAAGTAATTTTTATTATGTCTTAGCTAATATAATTAAAGTGGCCAATTTTCTTGGTAATTCGTAAGCACTTCTCCTCCCTCTTTAATTTGTTATTTCTGATTTGTATAAATTATAAAAAATTGTATGCAAATTTGTTTCGCAAAAAAAAAAAAAAACAGAAAAATCTCAACCCACAATGATGGGTTTTCTTTAATGATAGAGTGCATATGGTTGGCTGTATTTTTTTTTTTTTTGCGAATAGCAACAGAAATTACCATTGACCATTAACGTTGTAGCCATTGAAATCTGTTTTAAATATGCCCAGATGTTTGTTTATTCGCTTCCATCATCGTCATATAATAGTCACAACCATCGTCGTCATCGCCATCATCTTCATCATTTCATTAAGTGGAAATTGAAAATTGACTTAGTTTATTGTTGGGGTCAAGGAAAATTGCTTTTACTTTTCATGCGATATACAATGATTGCTCCACTCAAATGGAAATAAATATTGTTTTTTTTTATATTTTTATTTGTTTATTATATACTTTATGTACACAAATAGTCGGGATAGAGA